TTTAAATGGCTGGTTATTTTCTTGGAGAGACATGAAAGTGTTAACTGCAGTTAATACAGCATTGTAAAATTTTGCAAACAGTACTCTGGTTTACCACTTTGCATGCACTGGTACTGAAGGAATTGAAAAATGAAAAATTACTTATTTGAAAGGGAAAACGGTGGAGTCACAATTTATTGTGAGTTGTGAGTTACTTAAATGCTAATTTGAGTTAGTGACTTGATATATATAAAACAGGAGCAACTAAGGAAAAATCATTTTCTGAAGTGCATTTTATGAGCATGGGTGCTACTCACAGCTAGTAACAGTGCATTTATTTTAAAGATGAGTCAGCACACAGTATGCAATTGTCTCTTTATGCCTGTATTTGGATGATTTGAGTTTTTTCTGCAATGCAAAGAAAATTCCAAGCAGTTGCGCATGCAATTTTTACAAATTTTTCCACATTTGGGAAGCTGATAAACTAAACAAATACTCGGTATGTTTGGATCAATTTGAGTTTAACATAGGTATTTTGTGCACATCATTGAATAACACCTTTTCTTTCTAAACCTGCAATTGCAGGTTGTACTTATTAACTTCCCCTCTTTACTTGAATTGCCATTTGTTAATCAGCTCATTTTTATTGCTCTGACCTTTATGCACCAGTACAGAATAAGTAATAGGTTAATTCCATGCTGAAAAAAAGAAGAAAGAAAACACAACGTTTCGGCCGTGGAGCCTTCTTCAGGTGTGAGTCGAGTGGAGAGGCACCATTAACTGGAACACACTATGAGCCACACTGTGAGCTTGCAGGCACCTAACAAGTGCCTTGAATCTTGGTGGCATATGTAGCTGAGCATGAAATCCAACACCACCGCTTGGAGAATTGCAGTAAATGGCAAAGACTAGGCAAAAACTACCAGTGTTTATACTATAAGGTCTAACCTGCAGTCTAAGTAAGCACAATTAGTAGTTGACCCAAACAGAATATATTATATTACATATAATATATTACATTTTTAGCTTACTTTTACAGATCATACTACTGATATCTCTTCTCTGTTATATTAAATAATTACTTAATAAAATTGTTCTCTTTATCTTTTTCTCCTTTACTTCCTTTACTGCTTGAACAAGCATTGTTGTCACAGTGCTATGATTTTCTGTCTTTTTAAGTAGAGGAATCACTTTGTGATCAATAAGGCCTTATTGAGATGTCATTTGTCTGACTCCTCTATATTGATTTCCGGTGCACACAATTGAGAGATGCTGTCTTGGTGTTTCATGAGCTCTTGTCATTAAAGCTATAGAGAGACTTTTTCTGCAGTTCACTAATGATACAAATTATTTGAGAAACAAAAAATGAGTATTTTAACCAATATAGTAGTGTTTGCAATGAAGATGGGTGTAAACAGTCATGCAATTATTCAGTTACTTAATAATATGCTTGAAAAAGATGCCAAAGATAAAAATGTAAATTATTTTATCCTTTACTTGAACAACCCCTAAGCCTAACAAAGCAGCCATGTAGTTTTGCCAGTGAATGAACTCTACAGGTAAAGATCAGTGGCCATTGCGGAGAGCTGGAGCTGAAAAGCCACTCAGCTTTCTCAGGCAGATCATGTTACTGGGCCAGGCTTCTGTAACTCACCCTTCTGTGTGGACTCCACCTGTGTTACCTGATGGTAGTTAACTAGCTATTCTTTTGTGTCAGTGCTATTCTGCATAGTTTCAGTAGTGCCCATCAGTGTTTTAGCTAGGGACGTTTAAAGAATGACTTTCACTGCTTATGTTATCATTGTACTTTTTCTTGGCATAAATGTGTTTTCTGTCTTTTGATTGCACAAATATCATTTCTAGGCAATTTTCAGATCTGTTTTATTATTTAAAATGTTAAGGATTAAAGTATTCTGAGTAACTATTTCTTGAAAGTGTACTTATTAATTATTTTCAGAATAGTCGCAGCCTAGATTCTGGGATATGACAATAGTTCAGACAAACCACAGTCCTTGTGAACTAATATGCTGTCATATGTAAAGCACATTGGAAGAAAAACTAAGTGAAAAAAGTCAATAACTAGTGTGGCAGACTTCATTATTTGTTTGACTGTAAGGAAAAAATAACATTTTTTATTCCAATTATTTTTCTCTCAATATGGATGTTTTTTTTTCAGAAAGCAATCAAGTGTTTGTTGATGTCTTCCTTGTTTTCATTGGACATTTATGATTCTTTTTATGATACATTTTTACAGTGAGATATTGTCCAAATAAAAAAATGCAGGTACATCAAAAATCTTTAAGGAAGAGTGCTGACCTTCTGATAACAGAGTGACAGGGAACATTTTTATTTCTTCTGTACAATTTGGTTTCCCCCCTGGCGGCAGTGAGTGGTTAACTGGTCACTTCATGTTGACGGTTATTTTGCTTTTATTTAGTCAGATTCTGGAAACTGCAATAAAAAGAGAAGTGGAAAATATATCTATTGTATCTACTATACATTCTTTCAAAAAACTTCAGTAAAACATGAACCCTCAGTACTGTAACATTTCTGATCCTGATACATAATACACTCTCAGTTTCGCAGCCCTGATGTCCCCTAAGACATTAAATTTAACTGAATTTTAGTTATTGAGCTTTAATGTGCGAGATACTGAGCTAGTAAAGTTTAAGGATATTCTTTGGTCAGAACAATTTCAAAGGCTTCTTGGGCAGAGAGTTAGAGTGGATTTGAGGGGTATTTGGAAAATGTTTGCAGTAATCTCTCTCTGTCAACATACCAAAGTTAATCAGGTGCTTCATTCTTACCCTAAGACAAACTCTCTTTGAGTACATAGGCTTTTTAAGACACAGATATTTATAACATGATTTGTGTTCTATAAGGGACATTTAAGTGCTGTATATTGTTTTTTCACTTGCATGAATTTTTCATGAGCTAGTAGGTTTTTAACTTAGAGTACAATATTGTGCTATAACGTAAATTATTTGTGGTAGTTCTGCAAGAACTATAGGGTTGTTGACTGCATACAGGTTCTTTTGTGGAGGTATAACAAGATGCTGTCTAGCTGATTTGTATTTGCAGTATTATTTGCAGTTACTTTCAAAGCACCAGAGTTTTGGAAGAGTAATCCATATTGTTTTCTTCATTTTTTAACTTTCAAAAAGCAATTGATAAACACTGTTCTTCAAAAGGAGCAGATCATTTTTAACTCTCTTTAGAGGGTTAAACATTAACAGTTTTTTCCAAAACAGCTATTAAAATGTTTGTTCTCCTTGGAATTGTCCTGGGGATTTTTGTGGCTGGAAACCTATATACTAGCAGTACTGATGATATTTATTTTTATGTTTGCCAAAATTGTTAAATCAGAATATGGGGACAAAGTTTGGTTATTTACTAGTAATGAATACAGTGAGTGGCTAAAATCCCACTGCAGTCTGTGGAGGTACCTAGTATTTGACACTCTTAATTGATCTTAGAAGGAACAATTCAAAATTAACTCAATGCTGAAATGTACAAAGCATGTTAGGAATGAATTGTGCAGACAACTTTTCAGTCCATTTTTCCTTCACCTGAAATAAGTGCTTTCAGCATTCTACAAAAGAATTAGTTCCTTATTAGTTTAGCTGCCTGAAAGTAGTGTAATAATAAATTACATGATTTGTAGTTTATAATATAGCGGTATCAGCACAAGGGGGAGAGTGGGGAAATGCCATTAAATTAAGATATCTTTGTTTATGCCACAATAACCACTTTATTTCTGTTTTAAAGGCGTAGCACAATGTTCACAGTACAAGAGATAGAAAGAAAATACATTTATACTATTTATACTTTGTAGTAAAGAGGAGAAAGATGTGTTGTGGCATAAACTGAGCCTATACTGTAACAATGTCTGAAAAACAAAAGGAAAGCATGTATTCTAACGAACACCCTAAGCATATCAAATTATCTTTTCAGAATGTTGACCCCTTTCTAGAATGTATTTTTACTTGTACCAACTAATACCATAGTGCTGCCTTTTCTGCATACTGTTTCCCGTGGCCTAAAATAATGTCTGATGCACGGGGGTCTTTATGGACTGATGTTGAGACAGGCCTTGTGGGTATTCCAGAGTGGAATATCATGCTGTAAATCTGCAGCGTGTTGTTTCCAGACAGAATTCGACTCAAATGGCCAGCTCGGCGATCTAGTGCTGTGGGGTTGTTCAGTAAGTAACCCCTGCCAGGACGACTGTAGTGAAGCTGAGTCCTCATATCCACAGGAAGCCCAAGGGAGGAATTCTGAGAAGTACATACATGGTGTTGTTCCAGGTGGTTGCAGAAGGCCGTCCAGCGGACTTTCTTAGCTTTCCTGGATTTATAGACTTATGTGGGCTGGCAGTACTGACTCCAGATGCCACATTTCTTAACTAATATAAGCAACAGCAGGGGCGTGGATTAGATGACCTTTAAACTCTCCAGCTGTTTGTGCTTATTCAGTTTCTAAGGGTGGCTTGGGGAATCTCCAAAGCTGGGGAGAAAGGTCTGACTTTTTCTCTCCCCGAGACTGAAGCTCCCACTAAAGGATGTCATATTGGAGGGGACTTCAGACTCATAACAGTTCTTGGCTTCTTTAAGTTTGTCAGACTTACTTTTGAAAATGGAGGAAAAGTAAGTTGTTACATAGTCAAGTTAAAACCTGTGACTCGCCAGTAGGATATATTTAAGATATTAGTAACAACCCACAATCTCATGCTGCCCTCTTATTCTGGGGTATATAATTAAAAAGGTGTGTTAATTATTAAAAGTAGGAATGCTACAAGTGAAACATCTCAATTGTGATTAATCTGTTTTTGAAGTTGTAGAATTTTATGACTGCTTGCATTTGTGCATTGACAATGAAAAAGCCAACACAACAGGTCTGAGTGATTTACAACAGGTGAACTTTATTTTTGAACAACGTTATTTCAATACAGTGAGGCATCATATCAAAAATTTAATTGTGCATATGTTCCCCTACTGAATGTATTCTTTTCCTTTCTCTAGGGTGCTGGACAGGACAAACTAGGAATTTACATCAAGTCTGTTGTGAAGGGTGGAGCTGCTGACATGGTGAGTGTCAATGGTCTGGTTTTGAGCCTGTGGCTGAACCTGGCAGTTGAGAGGAAAACACTTTTCACTGATCTTCAAGTTTAAAGTGTCAGTTGGGGTGGAAATCATAACTTCATAATGTGCTTTGCTCCATCCTAAGAAATGTTAAGCAACACTGTAAACTTAGTATTTTATTTAATTATTTTAAATTCTCTTCCATTATGCAGTCTCATTATTTTGTAGTTTTATAAGACGCTCGTTACAATGAGGGGTGATCAGTTGCAAGAATTACAAGCTACAGACTCTTACTACTGGAGATATTATTGTAATTTATTTAAGTCTCTTCGAATCCAGTTCAAGTTTGGCTTTTGCACATTTAGTTCAATCTATTTAGCTGAATTCAAGATGACTGATATACAGGATTATAATGTGAAAATAAAAGTCAGACCTCTCTGGTGACTCAGTCAGTAAAAAAAACAGGTTGAGCTGTGTGGCCCAGAGGTTCTGGGTTCAACTCAGGATCATATTACTAACCAGTCTGTTGTGGCACTCTTAGCTCTCGACAAAGACAGTTACCCTGTGGTTTTTACTACATTTAAGGGATGTGCCTGTGCTCTGTTCAGCACTGCATGTATGGGTGCTACATAAAATAGTGATTCTGCTTTTTTGAAGAAATAAAATCCTAGAAATCTATGTATAAACAAATATGACCTTAAATTAAATGCATTGCTTTTTATTACTACATCACAACATGCACAAAAGCCTGCAGCTTAGAAGTGTGAGATTTTACATTTGAATCCATCAAAATGGCACTGAAATATATTTGTTTGTCAATTAGTCTCTCACAAAAATGTCCCCTGTATGTATAAAATACATTATGAAAATCAGCTATACTGTTGTCATCGGTCATAGTAGTAAACATATAGAGTATATAGCCCTGCATGTTATGCCTAAACCAGTTTTAAAATAATGTAGTTGAACACAAATTAAGTTTACATCGCTTTACATATGTCTCATTGTCAAAGTTTTGTCCATGTCAGGAGCACAGAACTAGAGTTGCTTGTTTTTTACTTACATTATCAAAACAGGTTAATTTGTTTGTTCAGGCTGATAGAGACTTCAGTGAGCCTTTGGAGTCAATCACTGAATAAAGATGCACACCGACTGACCTGTTAATTGATCTAATATTTCTTAAATGTGTTTAAAAAGCACATATTTTAAGTGTATCCTCAAAGCTGTTTTTTTTGCACTTCAGTACTTTGCCGAGTTTAGCAGGAACTGTGTCTTCAGATAAAATGTCTTTATTTTGTGGAACCGGCAGTCTGTGGCATAGAGACTGGGAGAGCAAAGTAGTGTTCTTTAATCATCGTATAGCTTGAAAAGTGAGCTTCTTTCATCGTAGTCACTTATAAAAAAACGATGATTAGACAAGTATCAAGTACAACTTTGGAGCCAGTTACATGTAACGTGTTGTATTTCAGCTGCATTGGGTTATACCAGCCTAAAGTGAAACCTACATTTTTTTCCCTCTAGGATGGCCGGTTGGCGGCAGGAGACCAGTTACTCAGTGTGGATGGGCGTAGCCTTGTGGGCCTTTCTCAAGAAAGGTAACATGTACCCCCTGTCACACTCAACAGTTTCATCAGCACTTTCAGTAACAAGATTTTGTAGTCATGTAAAAACATTATTACAGCCTCTCCATGCCATATTTCTTTAAAGAATATTTTCATTGTATGATGTTTGAGGTACTGATTGAGGGGTTCTAACAAAATGGTCTGTTTCAGTTTGAAATATTTATAATTTACTACAATATTACTGGTGATTAGACAGCACAGTGGCACAATGGTTAGCATTGCTGTCTCGGAGTGCTGGAGCCAAAGGGTCAATTCCAGGGGTGCTATTTATCAGGAGTTCCTTTGTTCTCCCATGGATCGCATAAGTTTCCTCTGGGTCCCATAGTCCAAAAACATACTGGTACTTTAGGTTAATTGGCTTCTGGGAAAATTGGCCATAGTGTGAGTGTGTGTGTTTGTGTCTGTGTGTGCCCTGTGATGGACTGGAGTCCCATCCAGTGTGTATGACTTAGGCTACTGAAAGAATTTAACCTTTAATCTACGTTTTTAATTGAAAACTACGATCTTAGAAAGCCTGAAGTACATTTTTGAATGGATAGCGAGATTGAACAAGATTTAATTGGAATTTTCTTTGTTCTTTATTCCCTTTGAAAACGTTACCAGAAGAAAAGCCTTGTTGCAGCCAACAAATATGTCATTTGTTAACTAGAGTGGGCATGGCCAGTCCAGATCCTAAAGAGTCACAAAGTTTTTTATTGGTCGTTCTCAAAACAGTAGGTCCTAAACATACACACCACTTAATCAAGATATTTGTTCAGTTAAATAATGTACAGATTATGTGAAATGAGTGCCCTGAGCCTTCAAGGATCACAGATGACCCTTCCTGAATTTTGTGAACAATTTAACTCAAAAACACACGTTTTTATAAATTGTGTCTTGTATTAAGTATGACCTGTAAGACCTCTTGGGCACATTAAGTGTTAGAAATAAAACAAATTTTCTTTTAGGGCTGCTGAGCTCATGACACGAACAGGCTCTGTTGTAACACTAGAGGTTGCCAAGCAGGGAGCAATTTATCATGGACTGGCCACACTGCTCAACCAGCCCTCACCAATGATGCAGAGAGGTAAGTACTCTTCATGTCTTTAAGGATCACTGAGCACTCTTCCTAACTCCACTGGATTAGTGTCAACGTATTAAGCCCCAGTCATAAGCTAGAACACTGAGCAGAAATGGAAGTATTAGACAAATTAGAAACCTTAAAACCAAATAGTGATCAGGTCCAGATGTTAAATACCCAAGCAGGCTTTTGTTGAAAGAGATCAGCAAGGTCATTTCCATTTTTATGTAATTGAAAACTGGAGAAATTCCAGGAGACTGGACAATTGCCAATGTAATACCATTATTCAAAAAGAGGAATGTACTTATCAAGGTAGTATTATAGGTCAGTCGTTTAACATGCATATTAAATAAAATACCATTGGGGACAAACTAGAATCAGATTTGTGCAATTATGTTATAATTGGCGAATATGAAAAGGGATGTTATAGAGAGATCTTATTCGAAGAATACTTTAGTACATAGTTATTGATGTATAGAATACATTACAATAACACTTAGTGGAAGCAGAAAGAGTGGGGATTTTCCAAGTCTAGACTTAATACTGTGATTGATTCACTATGTGTGTAGCAAAATAATGAGCATGGAAGAGCTGGTAAATGTCCTGTTCTTGTCATTTTTTCTTATTTTCTTATAACTGTACCATTTCCCAGTTAAATTACCAGTTATCCCAGTTACATTACTTATGTGTTTACTTTCCATATGTTTGGTGTGGAGCAAAAGTGTATTGGTCAAAAGCAAAGGTTAGCATAAATTGTAGGTGTGTTTGTAGATAACATAGAAGTGAGGTTTTGTTGAGAAGACAATCTTACAGAAATTGGTAAGTAGTACCTTAGAAAAGGTGAAATGAACATATGGTCACTGACATGTCATAGTGAGCAGACATCATTGGTTAAAAAGTTGTTTGTGTTGGACTGTGAAATAAATGGTACCTTAAGTGTCATGAGTCTACACGTCCACTGCTTACAACTTCTGTACTGTCTGAGGGTGTTTTTATCCTTTAATTGGTTAATGCTCTTACCAGCAAGAAAGTTGAAGACCTTTTTACACAGAGCAGACTCCAAAGACAATCCCGGTAGATAGAAATATTGTAGTTGAGCAGAATTATCTTGTGGAATGTTATTCCGTGCTTGACACTGCCATAAAAGGTTAGGAATGCTAATGAAATCCACACAACTTGACTGAGTGAGTAATGAGGCACCTTTGGCATAACGTATTGGCCATCAGCTACCTATTAACAGATAATATCCTCCATATGTCAACATGCTGCCTAGACCATATAATAAAATTTAAAGACCATACAGTTTAAAAGCTATTTTAGGAAAGTGAAATGTCTCTATTTTTAGAACTAACCTGTTAGGTGCAGAATAAAGTAGATTCTCAAGCTGTTGCAAGATGAAACAAGACAGATATGTTTGGTGTTATATTTTAAAAGGCTGAGTTTTCTTTTGCATTTTTGAAAGATAGATACAAAAATGTCAGTGTTTGCTCTTTTATTAATGTTAATTGTGGCAGAATTGCAGTGTGTTCTTCATGGAGTTTGGACTTGAACCAGATGAAATTAGTCTGTGGATCCTCACTAGAAACACAAAGATGTTTTTAGAAATTTCATAAATTGCTTAATATTACATCCTGTATTTTGGACAACAAAATAGTGCTCCATTAAAAGCCATGTGATCCTTTTCCAGGCATTTAGCTGATGGTCTTTTAAATCTCCTTTTATTTTTATTTTTCTGCAACCTAAGTTCCCAGTTTAGAGTTGCCACTTGTCAGTTAGCTCAATCTGATTCAAGCAACTTTCTGCACAGGGCGAATGAAGAACTGAGTGCACAGTCCATTGCCTCACCTATCTATCACAGCCAGTTTTCATTTAAAATGTGTGAGCTCCACATACCTTACAGAAGAGTTTGCACCGTTTGAAGGCGGGGAGCTCACATGTACCCAGCAAGATCCAAGGGTTGCTGTGCTGTGGCAAGCTGAGGGTTCCCTGCTTGAATCAGACCAAGCAGAAAACAAGTAAGGATCAGTGTCAGACATGCCCACATGTTTCATTTTGTTCTCTTGTTTCACAGCATCAGACCGTGGCCGCGGCTCAGGTAAACCCAGACCAAAGAGTGAGGGCTTTGAGCTCTACAACAACTCTGCGCAGAATGGCTCTCCAGAAAGTCCCCAGGGCCCGTGGGGCGAGTATCACGAACCAAAGAAAATAACCGGTGAGGAGAGGCTGCTGAAGAACAGGGCTGACCACCGTTCTAGCCCCAATGTGGCCAGTGAGTACGGCCCAGGTCAGACGCCCCCTCTTTGCATTATCATTGGGAGCATCTGTAGTGGTTGGGAAAGTGATGGGTGACTGAGGAATGCATTTAAGCACCTCAAGTATTTTGAAACTTCATGATGTTAAATCATTATTCCACAAGCTGTAGCTAACCGAGTGCATCTAGGTGGGAATTAATAGTTGTCTAATGTCTATCTGTTTTACCAATTGTAGAATTCATTCTTTTGTGTTCCTTTTTACAAATTTGACTCTCACTTTTTGTTATGGTTTTAAAATATTTGTGGTTTTTGCAAACACAAAGTAACATAAAATAAATATGTATACTTATGAGATAATGTATTAAAGTATGTAATTAAGGTACCTTTTTTAGTGGATTGAAAAATCTTGTAAATGATAGAAAATAATTTTAATTATAAATGATCAAAACTACGTGGAAACTGTTACTGGGTTTTGATGAATTGCGTAGATTCTAACAAGTTAGATTGTTCTCATACTGTTTATAAGTGGTCCTTTAATGAATATGACTGTGTTAATAGCCTTGTTTGAAATATATTTATAAAGTATAGTCTGCAACTCCTACACAGAATTTTTCCCACAATAAAAATGAGCTTTATATTCCAACTGTGATTTGAAATAGTTTTCAAAGAAGTTAATTAAAACCATTCTACTTTCTTTTTGGGTGTGTACGATGCATACATTCAGTGCTATATTTATTTATTTTTAATAAATTTTATTTGTGAATTCTGAGGAAAAACGTGCTCTTTAAATTGTTAGCTACTTTCTCTTCCACAGACCAGCCCCAGAGCCCAGGAGGAATGCCTGTTTATTCAGGGGGACCGACAGCGAAAATCACCTCAGTCTCGACTGGCAACCTCTGCACCGACGTAAGTGGAATTCTGTGTGACATAATCTCTGTTCTTGTAGCTGTTTCATAACTTCTCCCACTCAATTACTGAACAGGGCAACAGTGAAATCATGTGCTTCTGTAGTCTATTATTGTTATTATAAATCCTCGTTTTCTGCTATTAGATAAGATATAAAATAACAAAAGCAGCAGCAAAACCATTTGCCACAGATTAATTGCTTTGATTAAAATTCTAAATTTAATATGAAAACAGCTGTGGTGATTATAAAATAATTTGCAAAAATGTATGTTAATCATATATCTCTCTAAACCCTTCTAAGCAGAGTTGCCAGTTTTGAATTGGAGTTAAATGTGGACCTTTATCTTTTTATAATGGAAATCTTTTTTTTTTTGCCTTATCCCTCCCCTCCCCCAGGATCAGCCCCCTCCTCCCCGTCCTGAAGCCTACCCTATTCCCACCCAGACCTACACTAGGGAGTACTTCACCTTCCCAGCTCCTAAATCTCAGGACCGTATGGGCCCAGGCCCGGGGCAGCAGTGGCAGAGCTACGAGGACGGAGTCCCAGGTCAGCATGACGACCGTCACCCTGGCAACATGGTGATACAGGTAAGAAGGCGGACTGAAGTCTGGTGTCATTGTTGGCATTCCTTCCAGACATATCTGTTACTCCTAATCACTTCTCTGGGACCTAGAGTCAGTCAGAACCACCAGTTTCCTCAGGTCCAAGTAGTGGAGCCCACCCCATGTTTAGCTGAGTTTTTAAGTTTAGTGTATTCTTCTCCAGTGTGCTCAAAAACCATTGATGGAGGTGCTTACTGTGCACTGACATTTAACTTTTTAACTCTATGCAGGAGTCATACACATTAGCCTGAAATGTTTGTCTATAATGTTTTTAAAAAACAGGAAACCTTAATTACTATTTGCCAAATCAGAAAAGTCCAATATATATTGGTTGTCACACTTACTAACTAAAGTTAGTGACTGACTAAATGCTAAATCTACTGGGTTTTGATGTCAGTTCTTTAAGGGAGTAATCTAATATTATTATCCTCTTCATTACTCAGGACATGTCTAAGGATGACATTGGTGACTAATCTCACTATAAATGTCAGAAATGTTAGTACTTTTTATGGAAGAGAGTGTGCTCATTGTGTTTGAACATTTTGAATTCTGATGTAGTCATATTAAAGCAAAGCCTCTAGTTTTAGTTAACAAAGGCTGACATCTCCTTGCTGCTGTTAGCTGTCTCCTATGGAAGTAATTGAACACAACACTTGAGTACAATCCATGGCATACAATTACTGACGTGTGCTGTGTGTCGACAGCTTGTTTAGATGTGGTTGCCTTAGTATGTTCAAGGCCTTATGTTATTTAGCAAGGTGTGACAGTATTTGAGTTCAGGTAAATAAGAAACACTTGTTTCTTTAACACTGGACCTAAGGAGAAAGGAATTTAAACTGTGGAAAAAAATATTACAAAGTGTATAGAATTCCATACCTTAGAACATTCACATTCAGTAAGTCATTATACTAATGGTCTTGAACATTCTGTATTATTATTTAATCAACTTGACTTGCTGTAACAATTTTTTTTAAATTATAATTTCTGGTGTTTTGATCTGTTAATTTCTTGTTATATGTCATAAACCTACACATTTCTTCAAAAAGGATTTAAATCCCTGTAATTTGTTGTGGAGCCAATAGAAAATTTCCCTTGTCTAAACAACAAAACAGTCTCAACCAGTTTTGTAAATTTTGGTGTTTTGACAGGTAGCATGCTAGTTAATGGGTTAAAAATCAATCTGCAATTAATAATAGGAATGCTTTAAGAAGTAGATGTGAACAAACTGTTTAGTTGATGAACTGCTTTAACTCATGATAACATCGCTATGAGGCGCTGTAATATTCATTCATGGTCAGTCTTATTTGCTAGTGTACCTCAAATCCTTTCCCCAGCTGTTGTTTATCACATCTGTCCTGTCCCGCAGCGGGCCACTCGCTCTCAGGAGGAGCTTTCTGATGACAGGGGTTTATATTACTTGGAGAGGGGCCGCCAGGAGGACCTGGCTCACCTGCAGCACCGAGAGGCAGAGTACCAACGAGAGCATGGCAGTGGAGAACACTGGAACCACCAAGTGTCCTCCTCTGTGGAGTCGAGCACCTCCAGCCAGGAGCACCTCAACTACTCCTCTTCCTCTAAGAACGCCCCCAACCACAAGAGTGGGCCTGGCCGCTGGAAGACACCTATAGCCCCTCACTCGGCTCCTGTGGCTGTCTCCCAACCCATCCGCACAGACCTTCCACCCCCACCTCCACCCCCTCCACCTGTACAGTACGCAACCGAGTTTGACTCCCAGGCCGAACTGCCTCTTCCTCCCCCTCCTGCCCAACAGGCAGCTGACCGTAAGAAGCGGGAGGAGCAGCAACGTTGGTACGAGAAGGAGAAGGCGAGGCTGGAGGAGGAGAGGGACAGGAAGAGAAGAGAACAAGAGAGAAAACTAGGCCACATGCGCAACCCTCCAGGGCCTGTCCCTCTCGCCAACCAGCAGATCGGGCCTATGCCTCCTCCGCCGCAACACCAGCAGTTACCTCCCCCTCCAGCACCTATACCGATGCAACAGCCACAATCCTACCTCCCGCCTCAGCAGCAGCAGCCCCCAAGACCAGAGAAGTTATCCAGCATCCCACGGGCGCCCCCTCCTCCGCAGGAGACAGTAATCCGGGAGCTGCTTCCCCAGCAGCAACCTCGAACCATTGAGCGCAGAGACTTGCAGTACATCACCATCAGTAAGGAGGAGTTGTCCTCCAGCGACAGCCTTTCTCCTGACCCCTGGAAACGGGATGCCCGAGAAAAACTGGAGAAACAGCAGCAGATGCATATTGTGGACCTGCTGGACAAGGAGATTCAGGAGCTGCAGGCCAAGCCAGAGCGCACAGCCGAGGAGAACGACCGGCTGCGCAAGCTGATGCTGGAGTGGCAGTTCCAGAAGCGGCTACAGGAGTCTAAGCAGAGTGAGGAGGATGAGGAGGAGGACGACGACGAGGATGTGGACACCATGATGATCATGCAACGGCTAGAGGCTGAGAAGAGAGTGCGGGTGAGGTCCTACAGAAACAGGGCGGGGAAGGTGGGAGAAGAGGGTTAAGATAGAAGTGAAGCAATTATGAAGTAAAAGATGGCAGTGGCCAGTTTGGTGACCGATGTTAGAGTAAGAAGCAAAAATAAAAAGGAAAGTAGAGGAATTGGCAGTGAAGGCTGACTAATTGACCAGAGAACATGGAACATTATTTATGAATATGAATAAGGCAGAAGGTTAAGGGGTGGGTGGAAAAGATAATGTAGAGAGCCTGGAAGGTGGGAACACTGGGCTTAGAACCAAAAGAGGATTTTGAGAAAAAAGTAGGGAATGCAATTAAGACAGTAATAGCAGCATTGAAATTTTTAAATTGCGCAAGGGGAATGATAATTTGAGAGTGTAAGAATTGATTAGGAACCATTGTGGTAAGTCAGTGAAATATGCCAGTGGATTTTTACACTACTTTCAAAGAGATATAGGTTAGATATAACCTAGTGGGAGTTCACAGTGATTGAATGATTTCCGCGATGCCATGTGAATATGACACAGGACTGCGATATTGTTATGCCATTTGAAAAATGACCCTCTAAATATAACTAATAAAGGAAAATTTGGTTCCTGGGTGCTCAGATAGTAATGACATCATGCAAAGAGGTGATTTGATTTGTAGGATTTGGAAAGGACTCGGGTGTTTGAACTGCCTGTCCAGCTGCTCCAGGTGGCAGTGTACATCTTTAGCCAGGTGGAATTAAGCTGGCAGCAAGGATGTTTGGATCATGTACTGGTGATTCCTTTCGCTGGCTGGACACCAACAAGCCTTATGGGCCTGTCCTCTGGCAGAAAGAGCAGAGCAGCTGGTGTTTCACTCAGTGTTAATAAAGACATGTGTCTTGGGCAAAGTGTTTTTTTCTCATCCCTCTCCTGGGGTAGTGCAGTCTATTGTCAGAGTGAGTAAGGATTTGCTGCTCTAAATTGGACAGCAGTGCTAAATGGAGTAAATTAGTGTGACAAAAAGTAATAGGTGTAACTGCTGTACTAATCATGCAGTGTAAGTTGTAGATTAAAGTTAGATTTTCTTATTGGGAAGACATTAGGAAGACTAAGAGGTACAGTAGGATTCTATGGTGAGTCCCAGAATCCTTAAATTCATCAAAAAGATCCAGCAAAATTGGTTACATAGTTCTACACCCTTCTTTCTTGACCATACACAACTATAAATGTAATTTTTGTTCTAATTTCACTGATTTAAAGACGCCTTCAGGTACGTCTTACAAGGATGTAAATAGCCAATTACACCAACACAGAATTTGTGAGATATGGACCTATTTTGAAACAAATCCTTGCACAAGCTTCCAATGCTGCTCTCATGAGGTGAATAGATGTTTGTGCTTTCTCCCAATTCAGGTGCAGTACATCTTGATTCTCGGAAATTATGTTTTATTTCTTCCTCTACAGCTTATTTCTCATTATTTTCTTTCTGGTCTTTTTTTCAGCTAATAGCTTCTCTAGCAGCATCATTCACCATTACTGAATAAATGCCTGAGGCTGCTTAGTATCTACGGTATATGTCCTTGTAAAATTACACTTTAGAATGATAATTTAGAATATGAACATTCTGTGCTCCTCTTTACCAAAACAGCAGGCAAAGATATAATTTTTTTTGGTCAAAGACATTTTTCTTAAACTGTGTGCTAATACACAGAATTTGTAAAATAAAAGTAACCTTCAGTGCACAGTTTTTGGGCTTTGAACAAGGAGAGTCTGAAGCATTTTTTAAAAGGTCACAGCCTCTGGATGTTTGAAGGAAAAATATTGTTTTTGCTGCAAGTGGGGGCTCTGGAATGAGGTGGAAATACCTTCTAAAACCTCATGCATTACTTCAGTTTCATCCTGAGTGTTTGCTGAGGGGAAGTTGGGCGTTGCTGCTAATGAATCCCATGCTTGTGAGGAATGTTCTTGGCACCACATCACTGACTCAAACCGAAGCAATGTTTCACTTTTATCCACTTTTATTCTTTTCTTTTCATTTCTTCCCTTCCTGCAGCAGACTGCTGTTCCAGCAATCTCTGTTCTAGACTTGGTATGTTCTTTACGCTTTTCTTCTTTGTGCTGAAATGCCACCTGTGTTTCCCTTCTGTCACTCATTTCATCTTGCCTTGGTGACCCATGATCTTGTCTCAGGGTGCAGTAACTAAGGCCAGAAGCTGCACTTCAAGTTTCACAGCAGCCATGGTGAAATCAACTTGGGGAAACTGAGTTCTTATAAGGTCTGTGTGACCCTTTCCTGCACCTGACCCACTGCTGCAGCAAAATGTCTTCCTCTTTTGAAGCATAAAGTGCAGATGCATTTCAGATGTCCTCAAGACATGTGTTAAATTTTGAGTTGCAATGCTCTTTAATGGTCCTTGTCATCATTTCCATGAAGCAATTTTTCCAATTACAGTTGACTTGAAGAGAATATGCTAGTAATTAATGACTTCTGTCTTCCAGAAAGTCAAGAGAGCATTCCCTAATATCCATCAACATGTATTGGTGCACCATAATTGGTGAAAATTCTGGTAGTCAGATCTGTGTAAAGCAGTGAAATCAAAGCAGCAGCTTTCGCAGTGCATTGAAAGCCACAGCACTCCTGCATGGAAAGGACCCTCTCCAAACGTAGAAGCTAGAAACAGAGTTAATGTGACTTTTCCTTCTGCATGTTTGTATCATAACTGTGTTACTGTTCTCATGCAGTTATCCAGTGTTTCTCCTGCCTGTGATTCCTTTGACTATCATCCCTCATTGAAATGTTCTTTGGGAGTTTTTTTCCAGGAAGCCGCAGACTCTTTCTGGGTGATCTCACAGTATGGAAGGAAGTCTCCATTTACCACAAAGTGTTTTTTGTGGGCTTGTAGTGGTTATTATTGTTGGCTGCCCTAAACAATCCAAATAAACTGTCACTTTGCTTTTTGAAGGACCCATCTGTAACCCAGTTTAATAAAAAAGTGAAGAATAAATATATTGAAAGGACAGTTAGTTGATTTCTTTAGTTTGGTGTTCTGTTGTGTAGATGTGTAGGACACAGTGTCTCATCTGTCTGTTATTCTAAAAACTTGCCTTTACTAGATTGGCATTGATGGAGTCCCCTAGCAGGATATGCATGTTACTCTGTACCTATACAGTGGTAGGAGCTGTGAACTCCTGCTGAATCCACATGCTTAACTCTAACCTTCACGCTTGCTTTAGCGCAGATTCTTCTACCTTGCTGTACTAAACTCCCATCTTCTGTACCAAGCTCCCTGATAAGGAAGGAATGTTTTAATTGCTTTCTGAGTTCTTGAGTTTCTTGATAAAGTACCTCAAAAACAGGAGGGGAGGGGTTTGGAGAAAAGTATATATAAGCTGTGTAGAGCCATATGCGTTGCTCCTTGTATGCAAACAGTAAAACTTAGCTTGACGAAGGCATACTTCAGGCTCGAATCTCTTGGTTTCTACTGCATTAACTAATTATTTTGTTATATAACTTTTTATAAGCATTTGTGTTGGAATTACATCTAGTTCTGTTATTGCAGATACATTCAAGCTTATTTCCTGTCTTGCCAAAGTAGTGTAGCTTCAATATAGAAGAAAGACAGAAACTACTTTTAGCAAAGATAAACGTGGGAGTATTTAATATTAAAATTAGTTTCAGTAGTCTTCAGTAGTAGTTTCTATAGTAGTACTTTGGCAGACTGTTTTTGTGTCTCCTAAAAGATCTGATGGATGTGTTTGGCATCTAGAGTCTACTCCCCTGTGGAAATTTGTCCGCATCACAAAACTTATCAACAGTGTTGACAGGACAGAAGTTGAGAGGATGCATTGGAGGTTTTTTTCCATGAAGCTAAAGAGAATAGTTCAAATTATGATGATAACTAAAGACATTTTATATGTATATAAGTTAAGCATTTCTTTATCCATCTCAAGACCATGTAATATGACATGTTTCTAATCCATCCTATGCTTGTTAGAAGTAATATTGTCACAAAAGGTTAAAATTCAAAATACTGCTATTTTAGAATTTTATTTGAATACTTTTACTGTTGCTATAATTGTATACTGTACCATTAGGACTTTGATTTTAGAATTACTGTTTTAATGTAGGATTATTTCAAGCATAAGCTTTCATTCTCATAGCACAGAGTTTAATACCCGTGCAAACCAATTACTTCAGTAAATTTTGTTGCTGTCCACAAAGTGAAATAAGGTAACTTGGGCATTATTGCCACATTTACTGTGACTGGGATTTTTTAAAAAAGGAGTTGTGTTGTATCATATATTAAAGGCATATAGTTGAGCACAATGAAGAAAATGGTGTCAAAGCATCTGTAAAAGGATAGTGTTTCTGATCTACTGGTGTGCATTAGCTGTTTCTGTCACTCAGCCATGATTCTGAATGTACATTGGCAGGTTTATCCATCTGTGATACCACTGGCTGCCTGGCAAACAAATTTATATTTTATGAAAATTAATTGTTAAATATAGTGACAGACTATTATACTGCAGTTATAACTCTTATTTTTGAACAAAATAAAGCAGTTAGTGCTAACTTCCCTTATAATAAATAAGTGCTGAAAATGAGCCCCTGGAATTAAAATTAACGACATGGAGTAAGGGTGTGTTCTGGCTTCTGCCTTCACACGTGCAATTAATTAATGCAACTCTGGTACAGCACACAAGTTTTAATTAAATTTATTTTAAAATGTAAAAAGAAGGGAAATTAGGGATGATATGGTCCATTTATTTCAACAAATGTACACTTAATGATAGTGGCTTGCAGTTTTGTTATACATATTCAAACATATCCAGATGTCAAAAATATGAATAACATTGAAAGAAACTTGCAGTTATCTAACGGTGATCCAACATAAACACAAATTATATATCTGTTATTGTTAAATGCTTATAGAAATACAACACCCTATTCAAACGTATTTGTTTCCTTCCTTCTTAAACAGTTATTACCAATACACTTTACCTTGTGAGATTACCTGTGTGAGCCATTGGGCTTACATCTGTATGTTATGGCTCACAGTTTATTACTTGTAGAACAAGAGGTCCTTATGCTAATCAAGGATCTCACACAGAAAAGTAAGAGGCAAAATGCCACTTTTTTGGAAAAAACTGTTAATGGAAAATAGATCTGTTTTTTGTCATTCTGTTCCTATAACCCAGTGCATTGATACATCATCCCAGCCCTAATATGAGCTGTTAGTAAGCAACTTTGTCACCCTGTGGGTTCGTAAAGATGGAAGCCGGAAGAGACTGATATGTTTTTTAGACCACAGTGCCACTGGCCATACTTTTTACCTGCTCAGCGGTCACTCTTGAGATGAAAAGTTGAAATGGAGTTTAAATGAATAGATAAAGCATGAGATAAAGAGTCCATAAAAATTAAGTTAATGTATTTTATTTATTTATAGTTTGGGATTTATGCATGGCTTGTATGTTGACCCCATTAAGAGTCTGTAGGTCTGACACGTTTGCATGAGTAAAACTTTCCTGGAAGCAGATTATGGTTCTTCTGCATTGATATCAATATTGGAGGCTACAAGTCCTGATTTTTACAACTTCACCATAAGGATCACTGCATTCCTCCTCACTTCTGCATTGCCACATTCTTGCATGTTATCATTTGAATGTCCATCTGTGTTCTTAACTGCAGTTTTCCAAAACTTTTGTTTTTATTGTAGGCTTGTAAAGCTCATCATGGTTGAAGTTGTAAAATCAAAATGTTAAGATCTTGAAACATTCTGACAAGGCAAAAAAAAGCCATTCTCTGAAAAGCAACTATGAAGAGCAAATAAAACCTAAAAGGCCTTTTTCTAGATGTATTCGTGCCACACTTAAGCATAGAGTATTGCTAATAGAATAGTAGTCGTTTTTCACTCTGAATTCTTTTAATCTATAACATCCCTACTTAATTGAAGATGAATTAATTTCCAATTCAATCAAACTTTCTAAATTCTCACTGTGGAGATGATTCTGTACATTGATAATCACTACCCTAAATACTCTGGGGTGTAACATCACTTTAATCAGCTAACTTTATACCTTTATCATAGATTGCAGACATAAAAGCTATTTGGACTAAAAGATGGTGCAAAATGTTTCTTAGAGGACAGGTGTCTCACTGTGTACCTGTCAATTTCCCCTTTAGAGGCAGTGTATCTTCCTGTGGGAAGTCACATGCAGAATGCTTATCAGTACTGTCACTCCACTTTCAAAAACCACTACCACACACTGTAAGAAACTACAATACACTGTGATGGAATCGCTAGATTTTTTTAAAGCACCTGATGAATTGTGCAATATGCGCTATTTAAGCTAATAATTAGCTTGTTTATATGATTTTGCCCTCCGACACCAGGACTAGATACCTCTGTTTTAAGAAAGTACTGCAGCATACCTAATACTGTGAATAAGTGATTCAAAGTCATTCTGATTTATTTGCCTGCTTTTGAATGCATGTCTTAAATGTACTAAAGGCTCATAAGATGTAATGAGACAACATTACATCGTTTTGATATTAAACATATGCTTAGTAAATTGTTATTTTTCATACTGTATTCAAATATTGTTTTAAAAATTTGTATTTAATTTAGGTGTAGTAAGTTGTTAAAATGAAAGTACTGTGTTAGGCACCAAAGTCAGTTTGTAGTTATGGTACACATATAAGTAAACATGTATGGTAAAATGATGTCATATACAGCACCATTGGTCTCACCCTCATTTTGTGGAGGGCACAGTGTTCTCAGTTACATTGTTGGTCTATGTTTTATTTATTACATAACTGACTGAATTCTAGTCAAGAGTCTGAGGTGATTTATAAGTGTACCTTTAATAAAGTGAATGTCTTGTGCAGTCAGCTGTACAAAATCAGAAAAATGCTATTTATGCATGATTTATGGGATAATTAGGTTGTGTAAGTAATTTTTGAGCTTGTAACAAAAACCAGAAGAGACAAAGCCCTGTGGAAAATGAGTTTGAGTCCCCTCCTAATGTATTGGAATCAGACTTCAGTGCTTCTAACTATGGTGTAGTGCAGTTTGGAATCAATAATGCTAATCTTTAAAGGACAAAACCATTTTCTGCCTGTGTAAAGCTACTGTACAGTATATCTCAGCTCATCACTTTGATCTCATCAGTTAATTGAGTACCAGTGCGATCTACCAGTGTGAATTTGAAGCTCCGATATACAGTAGGAACAACAGACTGTGGACACATTAGTACAATAACGGTACCCATCACTAAAATGACAGCAAATAAAAGCGAATGACTCATGCTACAGTGAACCAGTAATGTTCCCCATTTTAGAAAAAAGAATACCCTACCTTAATGTGAGCATTGGCACTGAGAAGCTTACCTGAGAATGCTTGTAATTTTTTTTTTAGCATGTTAACACTGTTGATCATGTCGATTACTTTTTTTTGTCCCTGCAGCTTGACATTCAGCTCATTCAGCAGTTCAGTCAAGTCTGTGAGGAATGCTAAATCCAGAAGCCACTGGTCATCCTCTTAATTGGGCATATTCACCATGTTTAGATTACTTAAAAAACTCTTTGATTTCAGGCAACAGCTGTCTGAACCTAGCCAAAAATGTTTGTTTATGAAATCTCCAAACAGCAAGTCAGCAGCCTCAACAAATGCTTTTTTTTTAATACTTCTCGATCCCTGAATGACTTTTTTGTGTTTAGCCACAACATGGCTCACACGGAACAATGCGATGATTGCCGCTTTCCCTCTTGTATCAAGCCTCGTGAAAACCGACTGCTGCTAGTTGAGATTTAATTTTTCTACTTTTCCTTTCCTTAGCTTTCTTTTAGCGGGAAAGTCCACCTCATACATTTTGTGTGCAGTTTTGAAATGTTGTTCTATATTACCTTTTTTTCCCATAAATGCTAGCATTGCAGATTTGAATGTGAAAGTACAAAAAAAAATCATGCTCCCATTCCTTGTGGTAACGGTAAGTTTTCGGTCTCTTTGCTTCATCATTTTCATGCAAACACTGCTCTATCAAACAGGCAATCAAACTTATCACGGCCACAGATTTGTCACGGACAGTCTGTTTGCTCCACTTTGCACTGTAACGAATGTGGGGTTCGTGCAGTAATAACCAAGAGAGCATTCTTGGGTAGCACATACAATACTCTACAGTATGTATGGAGCTCCTGTAGCCTTTTTTACAGTGTCAGCCAGCTCTCATGGAAGAGACTTTTCCAACCCATTCAGCAAGGGTTAAACACACACAAGGGCAGTAAAACGTATGACATTACATGCACAGATCTGAATAAATTGTTAGGCTATTGAGAAAAGTAGACAAATAGCCATTTATTTTTGCCAAACATTCTTGCGATCGACTGGCAAGCACTCCGAGATCGACTGGTCGATCGCGATTGACTGGTTGGGCACCCCTGCTTTAACTCAATATTTGGTAGAAGCACCTCCGACAGCAAATACAGCCGCAGGTCTTTTTGAATAAGTCTCTTTCAACTTTGCATGTCAACTTAGTGCAATTCTTCTCCATTTTGCTCAGCAGATTAGCTCAAGTTGTCTCAAGCTGCTTGGGGATAGCTTTCAGACAGCAGTTTTCAAGTTTGAAAACACATTCTCAATAGAATTCAAGTGAGCACTTTGACCAGGCCAATCAAAGAAATTCACTTTCTTATTCTTAAACACTCCAGTGTAGCTTTGGCCTTGTGCTTTAGATAATTTTCCTGCACTTTAGTGCCATAACACTTAAAATACCTTTGCTTTTCATGTCTGGGTTCCAGGCCAAAAAGTTGTTTTTGACACAAGTCAAGACCATGACCTTATCATATCTCCACAGATGATGCAGTTCTCACAGCAGAAAAGTCCTTCCTCACCAACATCACATCCCAGTTAACTGGAACACAGGGCTAAAATAAATACCTCCTGCCCACAAAGCTGAAATTCAAGCTCTGTTTGTTCTGTGACAGAATGCTGCCAGACCACAGTACGAACAAATCTGACTGGCTTGTAAAGTATGGTTTTGGAAAGATGTCTATCTTTCACCCGAGAAAGATGTTAGACTTTTACATTATTTCACACCAGATATACTCTTGGATTTGTTGTTCAATTTGCAATAGGAAGAATTCATATATTACATTTATTAAGCCAATTATTATTATATTACTCAAAAATGCTAACAATTTTGCCATGAAACCACAGAAAAGCGGGGAATGTGGTCTGTGAGTGATAAAACGGAAGTCTGTGTAAAACTTCGGTATACAGTATATAGTATACAGTATAGTCATGTTGTACAATATGACTGGATTTAGGCTGGCATTTATATCTCAGGAGACTATGGTATAGTTTCAGAGAAGTATGTACTGTGTGTTGTGTGTTTGCAGGTTGTAGGTGTTAACAGCAGTTCTTAAAATTGAGTTTTAAGATACTGGTATTATGAGTGGAATGATGCCAGCACAATTTTGTATAACTCGCGTAGAGTTTTTATGTTCTTTTCATAAATTTCCAAACAGTGGTTAAGTTGTAGTTGTTTCAAAACCTAATTGCTGTCAGCCAGGTCATCTTTGCTGTAACCTTCCAATCTTTTAAAACATGGCATGCTAACATACAGCCAGTCAGTTTTTCCTTCTCAAAGTGGTACAAGAGAGCGGTGGTGTGATAACTGTTGCTAAACGCTGAAGGGCTGAAGGCTCCGCTTCGCCTCTCAGTTGCAGGATGAGGAGCGCCGTCGAAAGCAGCAGCTGGAGGAGATCCGAAAGAGGGAGGCAGAGGACCGGGCCAAGCAGGAGGAAGAGCGGCGCTGGAGAGAGGAGGAGAGGGCTCGACGAGAGGCCGAGGAAAAGGTGCAGTTGTGCGTTTTGCGGGGAGCAGCCATGCAATAATGAAAGCAAATTTATGCCTGTCAGCAACTACCCAGATGCAGCATAACGTTTTAGAAGAAGGCATTGCAGCTATCGTCAGACACAAATGTTTGCGTCCGTGGATGTTTACTGAAACCAAGGTGGTTTCAGTAGACGCCCATATGATTTAAGAGCATAATTTTCCCTTTTTCTAATTCTTTCAAGTTTATATAGAAGCATGTTCTGTACTTGTGACCATACAAAATGTAAGGCTTCTGTGATTAAAGTACAGAGCCAGGTTCTGGCAGCATCCGCAGTACTGGATTTACAGAACAACTAGTAAAATTGAAATATCCTTTCCTTGCTTACAAGCCTTTTTTTAAAGCTGAGGAAAACCTTACATAGAGATTATATTGTATCACATGATCATTAATAGTATTGACTAAAGCCAACACAAAGTTGTTTTTTATTAATGTTTTTTCAGAAGAGAAGTTGCTTTAAGCAAGCCAGATTGAAATAATTCAGTCAAGCCTACGTGTAGCCAGTTATGGTTATGTATGAGTAATGGTGCAGTTATCCACTACTCTACATGTTTGTGCATTGTAGCATATTTACCCTTTATAGACATTGATTTAATTGGTGCATCTGCTTTTTTTTAGAAGGCAATACAGTATGTCAATATAAAAAATCTAGGCATTTTTATCAGAAGATAAAAATAGATTTTTGTTGTCTCTGAAAATGCATTCCAGTGCTAATGGAGACCTCCTGATTTTTGTTTTGTTATAATTACAGTGATTTCTTCATGACAGGCATTTCAACTTGCAATTACAGCAAAGCCTGTAGAGCCATTCATTTCTGGATTTAATTGTAGTGTACCTACAAGGACCATTAGTTTTACCAGTCCTTTTTAAAACGCCCCACTTACTAAAAAAAGTCTTTCTAATGTTTAACAATAAAGGTTACATTTGAAAAATATCTATATTTGACAATTTAGTTTCAGGTATACAGTATCTGAAGGCTATTTAGTCTCAACAAAAATATTTGTACCAAATTCTGAAGTGATTCTTATTTACCTTCATTTGCAAGAGACCTTGAAGCCTTCAGTATTCTTTTTAAAACCATGGATGGTTGCGTTACGATAATTCTCATAAAATTTCATATTTCATATAAATATTTTCAAATCAACGAAATACATTTCATATAAATGTGTACATTTACCAAGCATGTCAAGAAGACAGTTCTTTTTTTAACAAACATTGATTAGAATTCAACATTTGTGGCCAAAGCATTTTTTTTTCAAACTTTAGAGAGCAAAAGAAGAAAACAAACTGTGTGCTGTGATGCTGTGCAAATGCATCATAAATTTATCCGATGCAAAAATGTCGTTTGTTGAATTGTTGTAAGGTGTTTTTTTTTTCATGGAGGCTGGGATGATTAACCCACTTTTTAGTATAATTTAACCATAGGTACCGTACATGCTGAAGTTGTTGCTTAACTTTATGATGTTACCTCAGGGTTTGAAGTTAGCAGTGGCCTGATTGTAGTGCTTTCAATTGTTATTTTACCGTAACAGAACTTACACTTTAAATAATTGAAATTATATTTTATTCACCTATAGTATTTGTTCAAGCCAGTCAAATATCCTTCACTTCCTTCAGTACAAATTATTATAATGTTGCCTGAATTTGCTATAAATATGATTTTCCAACATGCTGGATCATAAAAATGTAAAAGCTGTTTTCTGTGGGTGCCTGTCAGGCCACTGGCATTTCAAAACCCTGACTTTTATGCATTATAAATGGCATGTGATTATAAAAGTTTTTCTTTTTATTTTGGTCCCTTCAAGCATGGAGTAACCTCTTTTCGTTAGGTTGAACGAATGCTGTGTGCTGGGAAATCATCATCATCATCTCACCAGGCATTGCTTTGTTCTGCTGTCCTCGCTGCAGTTTGTGAGAGCCATAATATCACAGACCATTTCTACTGCTCACTGTACATGAAACAAGAATGTGCATGTATTATATAGTGTAAGACCAATCTTACATTTGCTAGCTCGCATTTATTCCAATAGAAAACCATCAAAGTTTTAATTTAAAATGACTAGCACATCACACACTGTAGTCATCCCATAAGATTTTACACATTACAGCAGCAATGGCGGAGAAAGACAAAGCAGCCACATTCTCTTTCAGTCTGCGTATATAATTACTCGCTCCCTTCTGCTAAAATAGTCAAACTATGGCCCTCATGCAGCAGTAGATTTTTTTAGAATGTTTTATTTAAGAAACAATCTTTCACATTCCCGCAGTGGATTTTTTTACCTATTAAAAAAAGATGAGAACCCAGATTTTCAGTAAACTCCAGATCACCCAAGCCAGCTACAAGTGAGTTGTGTGACAGGTAAAAACGCTCCGCGGCGTTCGCCGCAGTCCACGTTGACAGTGAGGTGCTAACCGGCTCTCCCCCTTCCTCCCCAGAGGAGACAGGAAGAGGAGTACTACACACGCCTGGAGGCCGAGAGGCGCCGGCAGCACGAGGAAGCTGAGCGAAAGCTGCTGACGCCTGACGAGCCTGGTCTGTACAGACCTCCCCTCCCCCGGGACTATGAGCTCCCCTCCCCCGCCCCCTGCCACTAACGCTCCTCCACCCCCGCCTCAGAGAAACACCTCTTACCTCAAAACCCAGGTCATCTCCCCTGACGCGTTGTACACTGCCAAGTTTGTCTCGTACACTGATGACGAGGAGGAGGACGCAGGCCTAGCAGGTCAGGTTAAGTTCTCCGCCACCCGGAAGTCTTATGGCGACCTCCCTCCCGCACCCAAGCACCAGCAGCAGCCACCATCTGCCCGCCCGCCCCGCCCGGTCTCTGATGGGATCTTTCTGTCGAGCTCATTCCAGCTGCCCGCAGCCAATGCCAACAGTACTGTGCCCAAGGCAGGCCCGCCCCCTCCCCCTCCCGCCAAACCCAGCTTCATCCCACCAGGCAACTCGAAAGGTAGAGACAGAGAGAAGAGAGGGGACCAGATGCAACTCGCTTGTTCTGGTTCATTTAAAAACTATTTTTACCTACTATTTTTGTGTGTTCGTTGTCTGTGTTCTTTATTGGAGGGAGATGTTTGTCGTCCTCCTTCCCCCTCCCTCTCTCTCTCAATCTAGTAGATTCTTTTAGTATCGCCAATCAATTTGTGATTTCACCTTGATTTTATTTTGTTTTGTTTGTTTTGTGGTGTCTTTTTTTTGTTTTATTTTTGGTCTTTAAATTAAATTAGCAATCAGGTCCCGAGTTTGATTCTCTGTCCACCAGTTTTCCTCTGTCCTTACCAATGACCCTTCTTTCAGTCATCACTTTTGAGTAAAAGCAATCGATAACATAAAATCATCTGCACTCCAAATCAAAGTACTGTTGGTTTTGACTCATTCATGTTTGTTTGATTTTTGCTTTGGGGATCGCGCCCGCCTGTCATGCTGGGTGAAGGGTAAAAGATAGAGCTTCTAGTTTCACATTGTTGCTGAGGGCAAACTCCTCAGCTTTCAGTTATTACTTGGCAAAAGGGGAAAAGATCTGATCGAGGAAGCATTTTCTTTGTAAGTGGCTGTTGAAAGGTCTGAAAGAGGAACAATACATGGTTGATGCAAAGAAAGAAAAGGACCAGAAGGATTAATAAATTCCCCACAGTGCAAGCAAAGCCATACAATCAGGAGACAGCGAGGTGAAATCCTGTGTGTCTGTCTTGACTGTAACAGTGGCCTGAGTTACGACACATAGCTTAGCTAGTTAAGTTGCGTTTATGGTGCCAGCTTTGAACTACTGGAGGCCAATTCAGTAGGGAGACCTGGTCTTCTTAGACTGCATTGCAAAGATTAGTTCTTTTGGAGTTTTGATTTTTGTTGTACTTATAGTACATAAAGTTTTTGTGATTCTCTTTTCTTTTTGGTTTATGGTATTTTCTAACAAAAATAGAGATGGTTAGAGTAAATTATGGGTTGTGCAGTCTTTTTTTTTTCCCCTGGTTGCCTCAGGTCACAATAGGAGTACAGTAGCAGTTAGATGGAAAATATGGTTGTTTCATTCCTTAGTTTAACATGCTCTCCTGCTTGATACAGAGGCAATTAATAAGATACTGGGGTTTATATTGTATATAATGAGCCACACTTCAAGAGTTCTATAACTCACCACTTGATCTCAGAAGCAATGAATGCTTAGGCCTGGTCAGCAGTATGATAAAAGATCTGTAAGAAAACCAGTCTGCTGCTGTAAGTGGTTCTTGTGGACCAGCAGATGGCACTTTTCACCTTGGACCAGAATTTCCCAATGAAAGCCCCTGTCTGTTGACCAGGGACAATTTCTCATTTCTCCCCTAGATGTACTGCTTTGTGGTGCTGCTGGTACAAAACGTTACGTTGTGTCACCCTGCTCTTCAGTGGTGGAGAAAGAGGACCTGCTGTTTGTGAAGTAATTTGCAGTCCTTTCAGATTAAAAAACACATGAGATACAAGCAATTCAATCAGCATTTATGCAGATTTACTTTCTTAAAATGTATGTTCATAGGGTATAGAGAACAAGTATGCTGCCAAGGCTCACCGTTTCAGTTAAAACATTCACTATATTATTCACTATAATAAAACTGAAACCGGTTAAACCATTAAATGGTTACCATGAGTAATCATTAGTTAATTTTATTATTTTTTGTAACCTTACAAGTGGTAGATATTTTTAAGGTCAGCATAGCTAAGATCACACCTTCAACAGCCACATACAAAAGTGCTTTTAAAGCAGCATAGTGTGGCTCTGGCTCTCCTAGCTGGGTTAAATAGCTACAGAGTGCAGAGCGTTGGAAGACCACTTTTCAACCCTGCATTGATAATTTACCTTTTCTCTCATTGTGGACCTTGCTACATTCTATGCTGCATTTAGCATTCTAGCTCATGTATGAACAACTAACCTTGCTGTCCCGCACAGATAAACGCACAGTCCCAGCTAAAGCAGCTGACTACAGCTAGCCTACTATCCATTGCTATTTACTGCCACTGCTTTGCCTTGCTCTCCTCCTTTCAAATCCATCTGTTTGCACTTCCAGCTCTGTTGTTCTGTGAGTTCTCCTCTTGTGTCAAAGGACTGGCCCTTTTCATGCCACATTGTAAAACAATATCAGATTTGTGTCAGCAAGGAGCTCTGGATCTAGTAATCCAGTTGGGGAATCAAATAATTATGAATGTGATATTTTTATGTCTTCAGAAAATTGCCAACATTTCATCTTGCCATAGTAGAATAGTATGCTCCATAAATTCTGCTGTTTGTATTTCTGATAAGATGTGTTGATGATGGCACAGGAAAAATGAAGCACAGCAACAGATTGGCTGTACATGTGTGCCATTCCAAAGGGTGATTCTTTGACAAAAACTTCTTCAGTCTTACGTTAAATGATATGAGACTTTACCAGTCTGGTGCTTTTTTCTCTACAAACTGCATCTTTGTTTCTGCTTTGGATGTGTGTCTGGTTGTGCTCTGTGTCTATGTGATGTCTGTGTGCTATTGGTTTGTGCTACAACCCCCAGCTCGTGCTTCAAGGAACTCGTAGCATTCCAGTGATAATTGAAATGCTACCTGGTCCAGTATGAACGTCAGCCTTTACAGAAACTGAAAGAACATTCCACTGTCTCACAGAGGCAAGAAAGCACAAATTTAAAGTAGATTGTTGCAAAGCAAAAATGTTTCAAGCCTTCTGTAACATGAAACCAAAAGCAGATTGGGTTAGAACACTGTTTTACAGTATATGCAACATTCAATTTCTTCTTAAAAACACCCCTGATTTGTATTTTAAGACCAAAATGATTCAGAGTCTGAATCATAAGCACTAAATGCGTTGACTTTTCTTCAGAGGAGGCTGTAATGTGAAACTGATTTTGTTTGATTTAGACAATTCATTTGAGGAGCCTTGAGCAGACCTTATCTGTCCTATGCTTGTTTATTGTTAAAAGTTTTACAATTCGTGCTTTTACGGCTGATTGCAGTTGGTGTCACTTAGGCAAAACACACCCTCTGCCAGTGGAGTGGTTCCTGTGAGCTCACATTATTCAATGAGTTTGTTTTGCTGCTGTCTTTTAGTTTGTATTGTCCTTCTATACATATTACATTTCAAGCTCCTTTTTAGAAACCAGAAAAGTACCAAAATTGTCTGATAGCTTAGGAATACAGATTTGTATTTTTAAAACTTCTAACAGACACATTGACATGTGAGCATAATATGAATTGTATTAATTTGTGTTAATTATTACAGCCGGTGTGAATCATAAGTGGAAGTAAGATATAAGCAGCGCTGGTGGTATTATATTTATAGAGCTCATAATTTCTAGGCTTCCTGAAGACTTTACTCATTTTCATGGAGGTTGTTAATATTATTTATTGAGGTGTCCCAGTCTCATGATTTCAGAATCCTTGATGTATGTTGGGTTAAGGAATGTGAAATAGAGAGGCACATGTGTCAGTTTGGTGTTGCCTTCCACTTGTGATTTCACATAGGGCTTCAGTGATTTTGTTAGCTGTTGGGTAGCTGTAAAAAAGCAGGAAGCGAGGAAGTGAAAGGAATTAGCTTTTGAGATTAGAGGTTGCTGCATTCAAAGTGCTATATTTTTGGGGTCATTGGAATAGCTTGGTAGAAAGCAAATGTGTTTCACTCAGAATCCTGTTTCCCAGGGTCCAGAAACAGGCAGGTTACAAATATGCCTTGCCCGTGCTTTTAGAACAGAAAAGGAGGTAGACTGTTGTATTTGGTTGGGTTTGATGTTACCAAATTGTTACCTCCATCTCAAGGTAAGATGCTCTGGATGTGACCTACACAGCACTCAAAGTGAATTTAACAGAACTGCTCCAAACGGGGTTGTTCACTGTTGTCACAACAAATGGAGCTTTGTAAGCATTATTCTTTTATATATTGTATCTATATCTTTGGCTATTCTAAATTAAGTATGAATGGAAGTTTTTCAGAAAATGTTTGTCCCCAAAAACATGCACATTATTTATAGCTTTGACAGTGATGAGACTATAGGTTTTAAAAACCTTAAATTAGCCAACATAGTTACCCAACAGCTTTTAAAACTCATGAAGGATAGCTTTTGTTATATCTGTTTTCTTTGCACCAATGCATTTCAAAATGTTTTCCTTTCATTTTCAATTTAGGATATAATTCGTACACTGGAAATGCAACAGGGGTTGTAGGATCGCATGAAGTTTACAAGGACCCACGAGAAAAATGGGGTAAAGGGTAAGCATTGCAGTGCATGCAGTTTCCCATGGTTCCCTTTCATTTCAGCCAGAGCCATTGGTAGTTAAATACTAAATACCCTGCTGCCTCAATGTGCACACTGGACAACACTTTGTTTTCAAGACCCCCAGGGCCATGCTGGGGACTTGGTCATCAAGTACAGTAGTTAGCTGGTCTTTGCCAGTTAAAACAGAAGGAAAAGGGAATGTTTATCTCTGGCAGAGGGTTTTCTTATATTAAAGCACACAAACTGCTTAATTTGCTAGTATGTAAAAATGAGCCAAAACATGAATCAAAGACCAGTTGATATGTGTGGAAGATTGTCCTGAATGACGTAAAGATCTCAGGTACTGACAGAAAAACAGCCTTGCGTCCAAAATGGTAGATGAGATTAGTTAATGAGTAAACGAGAAGAGAGAGGTGAGTTTTCTTGCCTTCCATTGATGACAAACACTTGTCAGTGGGATGGGATATAAAGAGAACTAAATGCATATCTTCTATGTATGTATTCATCTGTTCTTGATATAATGATTGCTTTACAGTGGCCAGGAACAAGATACTTCTGTAGGCAGTGAAGCCCCGGAGAGCCTGACTTTTAAAGAACGTCAGCGACTTTTTTCCCAGGGACAGGACGTGTCCAACAAAGTCAAAGCATCTCGGAAGCTAATGGAGCTGGAAAATGAACTGAACACAAAGTAAAGACTGGAGCCAAGCCCTCCAAGCCCAAACCCTCCCACCATCCTGCTGGGAAAGAGAACACCTTTATCTGCAGAGAGTCATATGTTTCTGAAGTAACTGGACTGTTAAATATGATTTAGGTATTCTTTTGCAATAGGAGAAGAGGCAATATTGCTTACTTTCCATGAGAACTATCAAAGATATAATAAAGCACTGTATAAAATGTTTTAATTATATTCAAAAAATCACATGAAGGGGGTTCTATTTTTTTTCCTTTAACGGTTCTGGGTTAATGGTCAAAATATTTTTTTTTAATCGCTAGTAATGTTGAATCTTTAGAATGTTATTTTTTAGCTGTTGCTGCATTACATATTTCCAGATTTTTGTTCTGCTGACAAATTGAATTCCTGGGCTTAATAGACCAATATTTTAATAAGTTGCCTAAGTTAACCTGTTACTAAAGCAAAAAGCAGTGCATACTGGTTAAGACTAAACAGTAAGTAAAAACTGGGTTTTTTGTGCCCCTTTGGTGTCAGATTTTTATGATGAGACCTTAAGAAGAATTGGAACAGAGATTTAATACAGACAGTTTTACATTGGTCAAGCAGGTTTCTGTTGGTTTGCTGCACTGAAAATATCCTCCTACCTTCATTTATCCTGAGGGGAATTGTCACATTCTCTTATAGTTCTAACGAGTTTGCTAGGACAACCTCAATTTCACACTTATACTTAAATTGATGCATATCCTAAGTTTTAATTGCCCACTATTAATGTTTCTTCGTCATTTGAAAATAACCTGCTTTTTATCCTGTTTCAGTAAGTAATGCTAGGGTGCGCAGAAGAGGCTTGAGAAGATAGTCTGGTTCAGTAGCTGGATGCTTTCATCTTTTCCTGTTCTCTGACTAGTGGTATAACAGAGGCACAGAGGTAAAAATGAAACGCTGCCATTACATCTGGGAGACCACAGATGTTGAATGTTGTTTGAGAATATGGGGCAAAATGAGGATTCAGGAAATTGCTGAAAATGATCCAGATTTCAATAGGCTTTATTCTGGCCTAATTAAAAGTGCTCATTAAAAGACTTTTGGAAAGATGTTTTGATGAGAACAAAACCTTTACTGTGATAAAAATGCTGAAGAAACCTTTTGACATCTCTGGATTACAGCCCTAATTTCCTGGGTTCTGTTAGATACCAGCGTCTTACTAGTACTTTGCTGTTTTTATGTTCAAGTCTTAATGTAATACTGTACAAGTCCCCATTCACAATAGTTTGACACTTTTTTGCTCACTGTTTGTGAATATTTTCCAGAAAAAGGACCAAGCTGTAACAGTTGATTTTAAATTACATGTAAGGTAACAGTGTTGACATCCTGCTTTGCCACTTGGAAGAACTTACAAATGTGTGCAAAATACATAAATATTACTGGCAGGTTACAAAGAGAAGAAGACTTCATGAAATGTTAATGACTTTTTATGTTAGGCTTTTGTAAATCAAAAATAAACAGATTTCATTTTTAAAATATGCTGGAAGTGTCTGTAAAATTTGTTGAACTGTAACTTTTTATGGTTATTTTAACTGCGAATTTGTCGCTTTAATCTTTTGAAGATTTATTGCTTTGAGTATTAGAGTATTTTGTATTTGAATCAGTAGGACTGCTCAGAGTTCAGGTGAAAGTTGGATTGTCACACTATACCTGGTTAACAAGGCAAATAGTTTGATTTGTGGATTTTTTTGTGACTTTTGCTGTTTGGTTTTTGGACTTCCTATTTGATTAAATCAGACACTTTCTAAGTGCAAAATTTGAACTGCTTTTGTCTTTTGCTGTAAAAACTCTTCTGATTAAAATCCCAAAATTGACCAACTTATAGTTCTAATGCTGTATTGTTGCAAAACTTGTTTTTTTGCTGCAAATGAGTACTTCAGGTATAGGATATACAGTATCTTGCACTGCAGTTAAAATGCTTAAGTAATCCTGATTTCCAGCAGAACTATAAGGATTATTAAATAGAAAGTTTTAAAAGAAACAGAGGAAGGACCTCATTTTTAATTCTTTAATTTTTATGCTCTACAAAATTAGTGATTCCAACCAAATATTTTACTTCAGCTTCACTCTGGAACTGGAATCCTGCGACTTGAGCATAATTTCTTGTACCGTGTGGGTGTCTTGCTACATGCACATGTCGTGTAGAGAGCAAAGACATTCACTGCCTTAGAAAAGCTGTTAAATCACTTTTTAATAAGAATTGTATGATAAAACTGCAGATCTTTTAAGATTGGACTGTAAATATATAAATATATATTGTTTGGTTTGTTTTGCTTTTATTTTGTACTGAGTGGAAGATCTTAATTTGAGAAAACAATGGCAGGTTTTTTTTTTGGGTGTTTAAAAGGTAAGAAGTAGGACAAATGCAGTGGAGGACTGTGGGAAAGGAGTGCCTGTACAGGAGCTGAACCCCTGTCACCCCTACCCCCCAGTCCCCCAAGTGAGCACAGCAGCTTTGTCTTAACATGACAAAATAGTGTTTAGAAAACCTGGGCTGTGCTCTCTTCCTGTAAAGCAATTATCCCTGTGCTACAAAAAAAGTATTTTTTTTAAATACATGAATAAATTGAGAAAAAATAAGGCTTATTAAAAGTAAGGAGAACAAACTGAGTGATTGTGCCTGGATTTCTAGGAATGTCAGGGTTCCTTGTGGTATGCTCTCTCCAGTGCTTTTCTCTCAATGGTGTGTGATTATTACTGGAAAGCATTGAAACTGCTGTAGTTTATTATTTCTACTGTATTTCACTTGCAACCTATTTTTAATAAACTATCTTTGTATGTAAAAGAAAATGAAATGTGTCATTTTTCTTATCCAGATTGCACTGTGACACGTTTCTTGTTCTCTGCTCATGATATTGTTACTGAATGGATGTGTAGTCATAAAACAAAAGTTTTGCCCATGAATTGGTGATGGGCATGATTCATGTCATAAGATAAGATCACTTTATTAGCCATATACAATTTCTTGCATTAGCAATTCATCTTTTCGCATACCCCAGCTTGCTCTTCATGAGACAGACACAGAGAGAAGCTTGGGGTCAGAGCGCAGGGTCAGCCATTGTACAGCGCCCCTGGAGCAGTTGGGGTGAAGGGCCTTGCTCAGGGGCCCAATAGAGTAGGATTCCTCTGCTGGCCACAGGATTTGAACCGGCAATCTTCCAGCCACAGGCACATATCCTTAGCCAAAGAGCCACTGCTCTGCCTCATGATTATTGTACAAGTGTGGTTTAAAATAAAAGCCAGCTTTTACTTTTTTTTTTCCTTTGGATGCCCATTTATAAGTATGAAGGTGAAAGATAATTGAATGTAATAACTGTTTTGCGAAGGTAAATTATATTGTGAACTTAGTGTAAACTGAAGAAGACAAGATAGTAACAAAAAGGCCATCTGGACCCTCTTGTATAGATACTAATAGACATTTCTTAAAATAAGCCAGGTTATTGGGTTTGACAAAATGCTTGGGTAGCTTGTGCCAGTCTCCCACAACCCTTTGTGTTAAATGTGTCCAAGAGCAATAAGAAACTATCACAATATACAAAAACATGAACAAGAAATACAGTATGATCTTTTAAAATTCCATTGAATTTTGCCAATAAGGCAAAAAACAGATTTTCATGCATAATGATGAGAATAGTGATTAGACATGTCCTGATGTGCCTCTTCCCTGTTTATACTGTAGATGGCCTTATCAATTGCTTAGGCTCATTCTATTTAAACATACTGTATACAGCGCCTATAAAAAATCTACACACAGTTTCCAAAGTAGCATTTTGTGCTTATATTTGAAATCAAGATATCAATATCCTTCTTAAACTCTGACATCTGACTCATCACCATTTATTTGATGATAGAACTTAAAGGACCATGGACATTCGTTTTTTTTCCCAATATGAATCCCTCTCCCGCTTTCTTTGAGGTGCAAACTGAACCTATTTACTGAGTGAATAAAACTGCTGTTTTCTGTACTCAACATGAGTTGTAGAAGCCACTTCAAAAAGATTATCTCAAATTTGTTGTCGCAGTACAGTGCAGATACAGTACAATACCTCATGTTTCTACAATATGTAAACACTTGACAAAAATGTCTTGTGCTCAGCTCCGTCATACTTAATGTTAACATAATCACATTTAGAAGACCATTAAGCTCTATCATACATACACATTTGGAAAAAAGATTTGTAGGTATTGTTTAAATATGATGGTATTGTAAGATTTTTTTAAAGGCTGTTGAAGTGTATTTTCACTAATAGTTTGTGCCGATGGATTAATAAGCAAAAAATATTTATTTAAATGTATTTGATGTACATATTTGGAAGAAAACAAAAGCAAGACTGTTCCTGTAAAGCTTAAATGTCAACAATTACAACTGCTGTTAAACTAGTAATTGCATACGTTGTCTTAACTGGAAGACTGAAATGGTTAACAATGGAATGATTGATATTTACAGTATGTGGCTTGTTGTAAAACTTTATCAGCATCCTGAGGCTTAGATGTTCTGTAGGTTTAAGAAACAATCAGCCTTTCTCATTGTATAAATTATTTTGTTTTCACTAAGATAAATAAGACTGTCACAGTATTTCATTGCAGATTTAACTATTCTATTTAATTTAGGATTTGGTCCTCTGTTATGGCTCTGATGTAAAATTGTATTTTATTTAGAATGTCCAAAGCAGATAAAGTATATGTGTGTAAACATAAATGTTTGTGCATTTATACATAGATGCTTTCTGTCAGTGTTGTTCAGGATACAGGAACGTAGTATAAATCTCATTATGAAGAGCAAGCTGACCAGCTGTCAAGCAGACGTTACTGTGTAAAATCCAATTTTCTTAAAACATTCACAAACTAATTGTAAAAGGATAACTTGGCATCCTGGTTAGCATTTAAATGGCTGATATCTTAAGATGTCATTTTTTGTTTTGCTAATACAGTATGTTGCACAAACATTCCCCTTGTCCTAACAGGAAATGTACTCTTCCCATCACTTAACTGTTCTCAACTTACTTGTTGATGGAATGACACTGGCGTTCCAGCCAATCTTGGAATAATGTTTTACAGTATAACAGGAGTATTAATTATTTTCTTGTGATACTCATGTGATGTCAAGTTTTGCTGTGGCCAGCTTTCATGAAAATTTTCATAAACCCTTAAACCCTTGTTGTCTTTTCATTTTTTTGCATGATTTAGTGAAGGCAGAAGTGAACCAAAGCTTGTGGAATGTGTTTGAGATGAGAAAACAG